GGCTTGGCGATAAGACAGTTTATGTCTTCTTCTTGCTCCGGCCAATTTTTATACATGAATGGTTTTTTCTCATTGTAAATTTAATTATACGGCAAAGAAAATATAATAATAATAATAATAATTGTTGCATATCAAAACTGTTTTCGCTGTTTTCGTTGTCGCTACTTCGTTTACTTGCCTTTACATGTACTTTTTTACAGCTTGTAGATGTGGGTCTTCTTCAAGACAGTCAAAGCATCTCGGAGAAACTGTTTAAAAAGCTTTAACGATAGAAGACAATACAAAAGAGAAGATGTTTGAGAAGTTCAACAAGCACCAAGAAAAAAAAAATAACTAAAAATATAACAAAAATTAACAAATAATTCCTGTTGATAGGTAGAGTACACAGTATAATAAATTCACATGTTAAGGAAAATTGATAATTTTTTGTTTTTCTTGTAAATTAAAATATGGGATCGTTCCGGATCTGTTGGTAAAAAAAACTTTGTGACTCTCTGTTTGATTTATATAAGGGTCTTTTATAAATGAAAAATGTTTAAAATATATATAATCAAAAATGTAAACAAACTCAAAATTTTTATACATTTTTGGAAGAAATACGTGAAAAAGTAATTTTGGAACATGGTTTGCCTCGTGGCTATCAGGGACTTTCCAAAAATTTCTGAAATAGCTTTAAAATGAGGGCTTTAAAACAAAATTCAGCATCAGGCCCGCACAGGAATTTTGATGTGTCCAGCTTCAATTTTTGTTTGATGCCCCAAACTTTAGATTCCTGGGTATATTAAATTATGCATGAATTTCACTATTTATTGTCGTTATATCTACTATCACATTACAATTAAATGAAAACAATAACTAATGTTGTATTAACTATAGCTGCACATAAATACTCTATATTTAAACTTGGTTATACATGATAAAACAAAAATACAAATACAATTTAAAATGAATGGAATTAAACATTTCATTAATAAAATGTTAATTATGAAGACTAGTCAGATCACTAATTTCATTTTGCAAGCTTCTTTATTGTGAAACTAAAGATGACAATATTGTACAATAAAGTCTTGGCAAGGTCATTTTTAATTGAAACCACCATAAGGTTAGTAAAACGATTTTCAGTCTTTTTTGATCACAAATTGGATTTGATGAGAGCAAGTTTACTGTAAGAGCGCTCTTTTTAAGCGACTGAAACCGGGATTGCTTTAATTTTTTCGTAATCGGGCTCGGTAACCACATATTACCTTCAAAATGTGGTATCTTAACCCAACTAAATTTAAAATTATACTATGAGTTTAAAAAATGTTCAATTTCTTTGAAAATTTACTCCTTTTTTAAAAGTAGTTTATCTTTCGAACAATCAAAAAAAAATTTTATCAGGTCTTGTAATCAATAATGATGGATTTTGAAAATAAAAAACACTGAAATTGTAAATTCAATCGAGTAAAAATTTGTCTTATTGTTATCAGATTATTTTCAAATTTGTAGGCAATAAACAGACATATATAATAAGTAACTCTGAAAATTTTAAAACATTATTTTATCAAAAGTTATTGCATATAATAGGTTAGTAAATCTTTTGGTCTAGAGTTTCAAATACTACGCTTTTTTTAAAAAAGAACAAATAATAAGAAAATCAAAAAGTAAAGAACAGTAATACAAGACATAAAAAAACATGTATATATACTAATTTTTACACAAAATCTAACACTGTGTGATATATTTCAAAGCAGTTTTCAATATGTATCCCCGGCAATGATGAGCAAGTTTTGCATATGTGCACAGTTTTTAGTAGCTTCCGATTGTTGTTAAGAATTCCTTATGCATAGCAGGGTCTGCATAACTTAGAAGGGCGTATATCTTTTGCATCATGTAATGGCCGCTTAGTTCCCGGAAAGTGACGTCCAGTAAGTCGGTGTATAGTATAATCAGGAACAAGTATTTTGTTCAGCTTTGGTGAAGACAATAACGTCAACTTAATTGTATTATGAAGAAAATCTAAGAAAGTGGTATTTTTGTGGTGAATGTACAAAAAATTTATGGCTGTTTAAAATACTTTGAGAAATAAGCCTTAATGAAAGTTTTCGATACCACTTGAAAATTTTCCGTAACAAGTGCATGTTCTGGAGTTTTTGGTCAACACAATCTACACCACCCATGTGACTCTTATATTCTTTTATACAAATTGGTTTTTGAACAATCAATTCTCGAGTATTATCAATAAGTCTCATGGATGGTTGGTAACATGTTGACAACATGTAGACAACTTTTTGTTTACCCGAACTTTATCTTTCAATGCATAGAATTTACAAGCCAGCATTTGACTGTTAACATTATTATTTTATAGAAAACTGCATCTCCTTTTTCTAAAACATTAAGAATTTCATTTGAATAGTTATATCAATTGGATCGCAGAAATTCTTTTATTCCATCTTATACCAATACCACCTCGAACACGTACTCGTCTGGTATCTTACCTCTTATACGTGGGCTCTAGGAGCGGCAAAAACCTCAATTTTGCTGTCACTTGTGCTTGAACACAAAAGCTTTCACTTAGTATCTTTACATCCATCAGATGATGGCAAAATAGAATTAGAAAAAGGAATAACAGCTTCTAATTCATCAACATTATTTTCAAATATACTTTCAATTTTTCTTTGAATAACAGTAGATGTCGTATTGTTTTCAACTTCAAATGCTATTAAATCATCATCTTCATCATTACTAAATTCAGAGTCGCCAAGATCTATATCTTTATTGCTATCTTTGTCAATAAAGGTATGTAAAGTGTAAAATTTCGTGCATATTTGAAATTTTTTTTTTGCGTGAGGACGATAAATTTGCCATATTTCAAAATTGAATATCTACAGATCGAGCCAAGCTTTTTTCATTCGGTTTTTACGAGAAGATTAGAAAATTATTCTAGTTTATATTAAATTAGATATTAAAGTTGCCTAAAATCTGGGGTTAACAGAAATCAAAACCGTTTATCCACCGCAATGCGGGAGACTGGTACTTTAAAGACATATTTTATTACCCGCTATGCGTAGTATCGGTAATGAAAGGGTTTATAATGTGAAGCAAAATGCAGGTCAAAAGAAATATTGAATGAAGACCTTTGTGCTAGATTCTGTTGAGCGATTTGATAGAAGAAAGAGATTCTTTTTGTCCAAAAGTGTTTGATCGTTTCAGAACATCTAGATGACGAATTTCTTCAATCAAGTCTTCATCTTTTACATCATTTACGTAGAGATTTGCCAGGATTTTGCATTTTTTTTTTTCTGAAAAGTTTTTCTTCTTCAATAAAAGGAAATAGAGAACACCATAAGAACAAAAACATATTCGTCGTCTTTTGAGCTGTATCCATTCTGTATCTTATCTGCTGGAGCAGCGTATAAAGAGTAGCATTAAATACGCTCACTTCATAACCGTTTGATTCAACGCTGTGAAAGTGGGTTGTGTTCATCGACTCTCCGTCTTGTGTTTTCTCTTTTCTTGTCCTTTTCTTAACAAAATCATTTTGAAACAAAAACAAAGCTAACCCAAATGCAACTTTGTCTCGACATCCAAAGAAATGATTTCTTATTAAGAAAGGGAGGCAGACATCGTTGACACATAGGAGAGCCTTGAATCAGAAAGAAGTCAATAAATTAAAATGATTGAACTCACTTTCTGAGTGCCTTCGCTAAAGTTAGTTGATGATCTTCTAAATCAAGTTCTTCAAGTTGACAATTATTACTATCATCATTAAAACTTTATATTACTTTTATTTTAAATCTTTACTGATTTAAAATAAAAGTAATATAATTGCATATATATTGATGCATACACATTTTCTATATTAATGTTTAATAAGATATATTCATTTAGTGAAAATAACGTGTTTTTTTTCGTTATTTAAAATTAAATTTAGAATAATAAAAATTTGAAGTCTGTTGTATTAAACTCCAATCGTAATAAGAATCTTTTAAATTATGTTTTAAATTTCTCCAAGTAGTAGTACTTTTTATGATTGCTAAAAACTTTAATAAAATCTTTTATTAAGGGTCGCATGTGCCCGCTTTGTCCGTGTGCCTAGGTGAAATGTAGTAAAGCCCCTCCTGCCCCTGGGCGGCCCTGTTCAACCCTAGCTTTGACATAAATTAATTAGATTACTTTAAAATTTAAAGTAGTTCTCCTATGTGATTTTATTTTATCTCCAGATTTTAAATATTTTTTTATTATATGTTTATAACTCATCAATTACATTCTGAAAAAACGATCCCAAAGTTTTTTTTCTTTTTTTTTAATCATCCAGTCTCTTTATTATTGACTCGATCATTGACCTTTCTAAAATAGTTTTTGAGTTGAGCCCAATTTCTACAGGGTTGAGCTTACAATGAGACTTAGAAATATGAAACTCTTCAAAACAATCTTTGCGAGCACCAATGTTCTTTTTTTAAAGCCATTTTAGAAATATTTGGAAATTTCTAGAGGGTTTCTAATAGCCACAAGGCAAATCATATCAAAAAATTATTTTTCAATGTATTTCTTCCAAAAATATATATGCAATTTTTATAGAATTAAAAGAAAACAGAATAAGTTTTCGAAAAATTTAATCATTGTTATTTTTTAAATTAATTCAATTTTTCAGCTTTTTGGTCATATAAAAACTAAAATTTTTATGTTAAAACCGCTGCGTAACTTTTTTACTGGCAGTACTTTTGTAGGAGAGAGTTGCCTTAATTGGAACACTTTAGGAATAAGTATTTGTTAATCAAAGATGGCTTAACTATGAAAACATTTATGATTTGATTAATACAAACAGACAACCCTATTATACTTTCAACCATAATTTGACTTAATTGATTAAGTCTGTAATTCTTTATTTAGAGGATTTAACTTCTCTCCCCCCCCCCGCTCTGTTTGTTAGATCTGAACATAAATTCCCAATTACTCTTATATTACCACTCCACCTTTATCAAGCACCTTAAAGTTCATAGAAAATTTAAAAAGAAAACTTTATTTATAAGTAGTTTATTTCATCAAATAAATTACTGTCAAAAATTAGTTTAGTAATAAAAGTGTTCATCAATATTTTTCTTTATGGCTTCACTTCATTAAATGAAGATTTATGATCACAAATTAAATGAAGCCATGTGAGCTAATATTTTAATCTTTTGACGACTATTTTATGACGTGTATACGTCATTTTTATGACGAGAAGACGTGAAACGATTTTATCCTTTTTGCCTATTGAACCCAATCTAGTGGTCGATTGAATCCACCGCGTCGATTCATGTATTGTCTAAATAGAAAAATTTTAAACATTTTGATTATATAATTTCATTTCATAAGTTCATAGGTCTAAATTTTAAACATTTTTTATATATATATTCATTTCATAAGTTCATAGGTCTAAATTTAACTATTTTTTGATTAAGTTTTGTTATTAATTTCTAGACTATGTTATTAACTCAATATTTATTAAAAATCAAATTATTATATATATTTTATGCTATTATTCACTCAATAAATATACTCTACTATATGTTCATACATCATCTACAATATCTTGCCTTACTGTTTCAATCTAATGCATGTGAAAACATTTTTGTCATTAATAAGTCAGCACAAGAAAAGGAGGATCGAAATCTATATTGATTGACAGCTGTTGAACTGAAGAAAAGTTATTAAGTTTGTTAATTAAAGACTTGAAGACCTTGCTAATAAAAATAAAATGGCTGATTGGATGATAGTTAGAGGAGTCCAAGCAATCTGCAGAGGTTTCATAATCATAACATTTCATGTCATTTTCCAGCAGACAGGAAAACAAGATTCAGTACTTATTTAACAGCTTGCTGACAGTCATGAAAGAGTATTGAAGAGGGTTCTTAAGAACAAGTAAGGCTGAAAGTTGTCTGAACAACAAGCTATGAAAGAAACTAGGTGAGAAACGACTTTAGGAAATGGAAGTAAAGGTAACTTGAATGTCTAACAATAGATTGTTTACTTTTGATGGCCCATTTTTCTGTTATTACTGGTTAAGTAATAACTAAGTACATAAATAATAAAAATACATTAAAAACTTTGTTTATGTATTTTTACATTTATCCATACTTTTTATGTATGGATAAATTTAAAAGTACATTAATCCATAAAAATTTATTTTTTATATATTTTAAATTTACTTTACATATTAGTCTAAAAGAGCTTTTTCTGCTGTTTAAGAATTTATAACTTCTCTTTTGAGAATAAATATCTTTTAATTATTGAGAGAAATCAATGAATGAATGAAATGAATGAAAAAGTGCTGTATGAGTAGGGTAATCCATTTGAAATTTTAACTGTGGTGTTTATCAATGATGACATATGGTCTAAAAAAGCTATATACCAAAAAATTTGAATTTAGTATGATTTTTAGATCTCTCGCAAAACATTGGAAGTTAGAATAACAAATTGTGCAATGTTTTCAGCCACTAATTGTTTTTTGTTTCTTAGATTCACAGAATTTAATTATTAGTCATTAGGAAATAAATTTAGAAAATTTGATTCATTTACAACTATTTGTACAAACCCTACAAAAGATTTATTAAAATATTTATAAATATACAATTAATAACATTACTGAAATGTTACTTTTTTATTTGTTGAAAATTAATTTCAATTGATTTCTTTGAGAAATTCGCTCCTTTAAAGTTTTTTCGATACTTTTGCACAACTTAAGCAAGTTGTTTGCTCTACTGGATCAAAACATTTGTCTTTGATATCTCCTGAAAGCATGATACCTCGCTCTGCAAGGTATCAAGCTTATAGAAGATTTAAATTTTTTTATTAAATAAAAGAAATTTTATTTTATAAAGAAATTTAATCCATATTGTCAGTAAGTAGTTAGGCAGATCGCCTAACTACTTAATGATGATATGGATTTTGATCCTCTTGTTCTATAGCTGTTTTGTTAACTGATGTAACTAAAAGTTTCTATTGTGCATAAGATGGAGGCAGCGAGGTAAGGGTTATTGCACTTGACATATCAAAGGCTTTTGAATAAGTCTGGAATTCTGATCTTCCTTGAAAACCACAAGGTTCTACCTTTTGGTGCTGTGTTGTTCCTCATTTATATTATTGATCTTACTGATATTCTTACATCATAAAGTGATATATCGATGATGACACAAAAATTTGTCACTTTTTCATTGCATAGAACAGGCAGTAAAAGATTACTACATATATCCAACAATTATCTGCAGAGTAGTCCAACAACATCTGTAGAATATCTGTATTTTTTTTAATCGGAAAATTTCATCTGAAAACTTTCATCTGAAAACTCAATGACCCCTAACAAAATCTCTAGGCAGATGTAACTATATCTGGTCATTTTTCTCCAATAACATCTGGAGGAATTTTCTCCAGATGTAAATACATTTGAAAAAAATCTTATAAATAACTTCATCTGGTTAAAATAATGGATTTATATTTATTTTTTTCCAGATGTTACTACATCTGAAAAAAAACCATATCTAACTTCATCTGGTTAAAATAATGCATTATTTTTTAATTTTTTTTCCTGATGTAATTACATCTGTAGAAAAAAAATGTATTTTTTATATATTTCAAACAATATTACTACATCTTTCATAGATGTAATCATTCTTATCATAATTTATAGATGTAATCATTCTTAACATAATTCATAGATGTAATCATTCTTATCATAATTGAAAAAATATCTGTAAAATCTCCAGATGTAGTTGTACAAATGTTGTTGATAATTGAAAAGATTTAACTACATCTGTAGTATTCACTTTTAACACAGAAGTTATTAGATGTAAACAAAATTTCTGATGTTATTCAGCAGATTATTTTTTAATGTATTTGCAGTTGTTATTCGGCAGATGTTATTATTTTTTAATGTATGTAGTTGTTATTGGACAAATGTAGTTATAACTCATTATATTTACAGATGTTGTTGGACAGATGTTGTTGGACAGATGTTGTTGGACAGATGTTGTTGGACAGATGTTGTTGGACAGATGTTGTTGGACAGATGTTGTTGGACAGATGTTGTTGGACAGATGTTGTTGGACAGATGTTGTTGGACAGATGTTGTTGGACAGATGTTGTTGGACAGATGTTGTTGGACAGATGTTGTTGGACAGATGTTGTTGGACAGATGTTGTTGGACAGATGTTGTTGGACAGATGTTGTTGGACAGATGTTGTTGGACAGATGTTGTTGGACAGATGTTGTTGGACAGATGTTGTTGGACAGATGTTGTTGGACAGATGTTGTTGGACAGATGTTGTTGGACAGATGTTGTTGGACAGATGTTGTTGGACAGATGTTGTTGGACAGATGTTGTTGGACAGATGTTGTTGGACAGATGTTGTTGGACAGATGTTGTTGGACAGATGTTGTTGGACAGATGTTGTTGGACAGATGTTGTTGGACAGATGTTGTTGGACAGATGTTGTTGGACAGATGTTGTTGGACAGATGTTGTTGGACAGATGTTGTTGGACAGATGTTGTTGGACAGATGTTGTTGGACAGATGTTGTTGGACAGATGTTGTTGGACAGATGTTGTTGGACAGATGTTGTTGGACAGATGTTGTTGGACAGATGTTGTTGGACAGATGTTGTTGGACAGATGTTGTTGGACAGATGTTGTTGGACAGATGTTGTTGGACAGATGTTGTTGGACAGATGTTGTTGGACAGATGTTGTTGGACAGATGTTATTAGACATAGCAAAAACTGATATTATTATCCTAACAGGCAGTTGATCTTGAACCTGATTGCTCATCAACCTGATTGGTTGACTCAACATTCATCAAAATCAGCAAACCATTTACTTTATCTGACCCTTTTCTATTTTTCTATTTTTCACCTTTCCTATATTTTTATTTTTTATCATTTTATGATGAAAAAACTTACTCATGTTTTGCTGACAAATTTTTGAAGTATTTTGCTGACTGTTTCCTTGCAATTAAATACTATTTTTTATTTTTTAACAACTCCCAACTTAAATTGTGGTTGCTTGCAGTCTTGTTAGATTTGAATTAATTTGATTTAAAAAAAAATTGAAAAATGTGTTTGAGAAGTATGGTTTTGATTATAATGTCAAGACCACATATAATGAATGTTAACTAACTAAACTGCACCTGCCACAGTTTTAACAAGCAATAATAAACTTAATAAAACTTTTTTCTGAAATTAAAAAATCCAATAATTTTGTTTTACTGACAGATGAAGCAACAGTTTTTTTGACAGATAAAGCATTCATCATTTCAACAATGAAAAAATCAACTCAATTGGTACTGTAAAATTTTTGACCTAATAGCATTTGATTGTTCCTTCACAAAGTTACTACTTATGGTCAAAAGCAAACTGCCAACAAATCCATAAAGTGTAATACTTCAGTGATAGTTGTTATAGTGATGTTTGCCACAGTGATAGTTGTCACAGTAATTAGTGCCACAGTACAAAAAGTTAACTTTGAAAAAAATAAAAAATTACAAATTTCAAATAAATCTAATGCATCACAAAAAATTACAATAATTCAATAATTGTGAAGCATCATTTCTTTGCAATGCGCTATGGCAAAGGTTTAATTTTCATTACACTCCATTAAGAGGAACTAAAAAATCAGGTTCTTAGAATACGCAAACTGTTGACAAAAAAGGTTTTTATTTTCCAAGTGATAATATCAATAACAACAAAACTTCATTAAACCAATTTTAAGCAGCCTTGGCACATGATTAGAGTTCAGAATAAAGATATTTAAGGCACAGAATAATACGATGTGATAAAAACAGTCCCTAGTGCAAGAAGCTATTACTGTTTTGTACCAGAAAGAAATTGTTTTTTTTTAAGAACTGCTAGTGGTATTGTCTATGATATTTATTAACTGAACAATGTTTGGTAAATAAAGACTCATCATCAGTGATGAAAACCATGTGAATATCATGCATAATAACAAACTAAATTTAAAATAGACTAATGACACACATTTGAGACTGTTGGGTTTAAATACCTCTGTTAACTTTGTTAAGACTTTTTACTTTCACTTTCTTGAACTTAAGTACTATTTTTTAGTTCTACTTTTAAACTAAATTAGCATCACACACAAAGGACAATAATAGTATCACACTCAAAGGATGACAATAGCATCACACTCAAAGTACAACAATAACATCACACTCAAAGGACTAAAATAATTTCATAAAATGTCTTCTTTTCAAGGTAAATATTTTGGTCAATATTTATTCAATCATAATCTTATAATTTAAAAATTACATAAAATGCGTGAATCGAAAAAATTTCAATGTATATTTAAACAGGTAGCTATGATAAAGGGTATCTGTAAGTCCATTAAGGAATTTAATAATTGAAAAAAAAAGTTACCTAAACTTTCTTGGTTTGTTAATCTTTGAACAACCATCAGCATTACCCTCCACATGCTTGTTCTGAAACAAAAAAACCTCATGAAACATAAAACAACTAATTATATTAAGTAACATTTATATTAAAAAATTTAATAAAATATGCAACCTTAGTGGTGACAAAACCAGTAAAGCCCATTAGTTGCTGAATTTTTTTTGCATCATCATCATCATCTTCGACTAAGAAAAAAATTGTGATCAGTTTTTATTTAAGAAATGAAAAGTAAATTTAAAAAATTTATTTAATGAGCAAATGAACAGTTAGCATAAATTTCAAAAATAAAGTCATGGCTTATTTAATTAAAAAAAAACTTGAGCAAATTATGATATGACCATGAACATGATAAAACATGAATATATGGGTAAACTACAAATACACTTAAAAAGTAATTACAGTATATTCATTAGAAAAAAACTATTTAAAAGTAATTTGTTACTTTTTCACTATAGTATATTATACAGGCTTTCACAGGAAGACATGCAATCGCACGTCTTTATATGACCAGGCAAATTACATTTTGCTTTGATGATTTGATCGCAACTAATTCAAAAAACATTGTAAAAACGCACTGAATAAAGAATATTCTGAATTATACCTTAAGTGAAATTAATTACATGAAAACTTTTAATAAGTGTTTTTATATTACTGAAATGCTTTTAAATAAAGTAACAATTTACTGATGTCTTTTTTAAAAGTATAATTGAGAGTTGTATATATTTTTTTAATTTATAATATATAAATTGTTTAAGTATGCATTTTTTATAAAAAAACGTTATTAAAAAAATAAAAAATTGTTTTGTTTTTATAAACGATCCACAACAACAAAAGTCTCTTTAATATAAGAATATTTAAGTTAATAAATTTGAAAAGATAAACAAAATTTCATTGAAAAAAGAAAAAAGACAAATGTTTTAGAAAGCCGTTACAATTAAAATAAGTTAAAATTTACATCTTGAAAATGCTTTTATATTATCGAAACACTATTAATGAAGTAACAAAACACTTTTAATGAATTTTTATAACAAGTATTAATAAACTGTTGTCTTTTTTTTACTTATATAAATATTTATTATTAAATATTTATTATATAAATAACTTTTACTTATATAAGTATTTATTATTAAATATTTATTATATAAATAACTATTAGGGCAAGCTATAGCTGTACAAAAAATATTGAAAGAATTATAAAAGCACATAATTTGGCATTGATTAATAAAAATGAATTTCTCAAAGAAAAAAATTTTGAAAATTGTAACTGCAAGCAAAAAATTGACTGCCTTATGAATGGCAAATGCTTATCAAAAAATATTATTTACAAATGCATTGTTTCCTCACAAAACAACCCTGACAAACTATATATTGGCTAACTGAGGGCAAATAGAAAAAATATTATGCCAACCACAAACAACATTTTAAACATAAAAAATATTATAAAGAGACTATGCTGTCAAAATATATTTGGCAACTAAAAGAAAAAAATATTATTTTTAAATTAAACTGGGCTATTCTAAAAACTGCGCCTGCCTATAATAACATTTCCAAAAATGTATACTATGTTTACAAGAAAAATTTTAAATTATTACTCATTTAGATCAAGAAAATTTACTGAATAAAAAATCTGAATTAATTTCTAAATGCAGACATGAAAATAAGTTCCTTTTAAAAAATTATAAAAACAAATGACCAGTCTAAAACTATCTTAATTCTAAAGAATTGTTTTTCTGATTTTTTAATTATCTAATGTAGTTGATGCAACTTCCTGGTTGCACAAAATACTACAGCTATTACATAATTAATTATATCAATTTTTAACTTCCTGAGAAATAATTTTTCTATAATTTGAATTTTTTGATGTTTAGACATTCTTCCTGATTAACCTACTGATGAAGAAACAAGCTGTATAAAAAAATAAATTTAGATAAGTGTTTTTACTAATTTATATATATATATATATATATATATATATATATATATATATATATATATATATATATATATATATATATATATTATATATATATTTATATATATATATATATATATATATATATATATATATATATATATATATATATATATATATATATATATATATATATATATATATATATATATATATATATATAAGTTTGACATATTTTTGAAAAACCTTTTTTTCGAAAATATTAGGGATCCATTAAATATTCGAGGGTCTTGAGGGACCCCTTAAAATTTTTTTTATTCAAAAAAAATTTAAACCTAGTGTTTTTGCATTAGATAGAACACATTTAGGGGGTGAGAGCAGATTATTTTCAAAAATGTTGTTTTTTGTACACCCTAGTGTATATATACAAAAACATATATATATATATATATATATATATATATATATATATATATATATATATATATATATATATATATATATATATATATATATATATATATATATATATATATATATATATATATATATATATATATAAGTTTTTGTAGCGCATTTTTAAATTTTGAAAATATGTCAAAAGCCGTGGTCAAATCATCAGAACAAATTACTTTTTGCATGGTCAAATAAAGACATCAATCGCACGTCTTCCAGTGAAAGCCTGATTATACAAAACTTGTAAAAAGTTAATGTTGTAAAAATGAATAACTTGAATACTTTTCTTTAATCAAATCAAAACCATTGCAGCCCAATATTTTTTGAATGCTAATTTTATCAATTTAGCGTCATTTTACTATAAAAAACACAAAGTATGTGTAAGAAGAAATTTTAAAAAAATGTTGTTATGACAACATCCTAATAAATATATAATTACAAACATACTATATAAAATGAAACATATTATGAATAAGACACATTAAATTAACCATATCAAACAAGACACATTAAATAAACTATATTGAGCAACATACATTAGTTAAATAAGTCATATTGAACAATATACATATATTAAATGCACTATATTTAACAACACATATGTTAAATAAACCATATTGAACCATACTACATACACATGTTAAATAAACTAAATGTTTTATTACTTTTACAAATTTATAACAGTTATAGGTAATGCTGGTTTTGGCCTTGTTTCCTATGCGTTGTTAATATCGCTGCAAACTGCTTATTGAGTTTTACATACAGATTGGGTACATGTTGCAAATAGAATTTGATACAAATTTTCCTAATACAAAATAGCAATTAACAACAAATGTTAAATATAGAAAACTTAAAAACTACCAGGTTGTAAATCTTTTCCTCTCTGCCTTAGGTGTTCAGCTTGCTCATGCCGATTGACATATCCACTAGGTGGAAAAGGTGGTGGTGGTGGCTGCCGATACCCACTAGTAAATAATTCAAATATGGTAATAAAAAAATGTTATTAACAATTAATGATCAAAAGTTTAAACTCAAATTAAACATTTTTAAAAAATGGACCTAAATTTAAATCTATTTATTTGTGAGAATCAAAAAAATAAAACAAGAACAAAACAAGGAAAAGCATTTGTTTTAAACTTTTTTGTTACTTTTGATGTTTTAAAAAAATAAGAAAACTTATGCTTGGTGTACATTAATTTTCCCATAAACAATGCACTTTAATTTCAGATTTAAAAACAGCATACAACAATAAAAAAATTTCCACAATAACTTTGATGGATTTTGATTAAAATGGATTTTTCCTTACTTTTACTTAAATAGATTTTTACTATTTATAAAAAAACATATTAATAAAATGTATTAAAAACATAGAAAAACAATTTAATGAAATTTATAAAAAAAATGTTGTTTTTAATTTTCAAGAATAAAATAAGTTTTGACTTTTTAAAGTAGGTTCAAGTAGGAATTTAATTCAAAAGGTTTTAGCATACCTATAATTATATAAAATACCTATAAAATACCTTTAATTGGTATGTTAAAACATAACACTTAAAAGTGAAAGAACCATCCGCATTTTCAGTGCATAAATTTTTAATTGAAATTTTTCAAAAACTGCTTTTCTTCTCTTTTATCTTTATATGAAAAGGTTTCTGGATTGAAGTCAGCATTTTATAAATTAAAGCATGTAGAAAATATTCTACTGCTAACTATATACCATGTTGACCTAAATTTGCAGTAGTAGATATATACAGAAAAGAAAAAGTAATCACCTTTCATATCGCTCGTTATCTTTTGGTGGCTGATAAGTGCTTCCAAAATAATCTCTCCCTCCACTATAGTGTTCATCATTTCTTTTTCTTAAATCTTCTCTTGCAACAACATCTTCTTTCTTGCGTGGTTCATCTCTCTGAGGACGTCTTTCACTACGACCCACTAAAGTTAATATTTTTAATTGACACATTAAAATAAGAAAAAATCACAAACTAATTACATAACACATAATTTATGTCACACTTAATTTATTAATTTAATAAGTTTTTACTCAGTGATTAAGTTAGGATGTTATTCTAAATCTAAACATTTTAATATTATAAATTATAAAAACTGCAGTTTTTATACATCAATCAAGCATACTAGTTCTTCTTTTGAGATAATTTTGAAATAAATTATCTGAAAAGAAGAACTAGTATGTATCTCAAAAGAAAAACAATAAATCTTTAAACTCTTCATCTTGATGCATAATGTTATATTTTTTTGATTTCATCAATTTCATATTTTCTATATAGGTTTCATATTACTGCACCATATTCAAGAGGAGATTGTAATAATGTTTTATATAAAAATTTTCCTGTTTTATTTAAATATTTAAAAGAGTGTTTAATCAATCCAAATCCAATTCAAGTCATTTGTGATGGTAATACCAAGATGAATTTCTGATTTAATTTTCAATAGCGTAAAACCATTTAGTTTATAATCATGCTTTTGACTACTTTTACAAAAATGCATTATTTTGCATTTATTTTTTTTAAACTTAATTAACTATTCATTTTACTATAACATATTTATAACTGTATTTGTTAGGTCACATCAGATGGGCCAACATACCCTGTATCAGAGTAGGTTGGCGCTAATATAACTTATTTTGATTTCAATTATTGTGATTTTTTGTCATCAAGTTAGTATTTGTTAAAAAAGAAATTTTTTCTAATTTTACAGAAGGTAGTGAATCATCAATTAATATTTTAACTCAAAAAACTAAAATAAAATATACAACTTAATACTAACACTAAACAAAAATTAAAAAAAAATTATTAAAATTAAAAATATTTCTATTTTAATTTTACACCAAAACCTATCCTTTGAAATAGTATACTCAGTCACACATGGCAGCTTTAAAATAGGTACCAAGCCAGAATTAGGTGCTAACATAGTAGAACTGATTACTAATTATTTAGGGGTAATTCCATGTCAAATGACTTAGATCACGCCACCTCAGATTTTGCTGATTTTTATACAGTTGAAAGTGCTTAGTAAAATAAGTATTCCTGAAAATTTTAGCTTCTGGCTCCAAAAATATTCTAAAATATGATTGTTTTTTCGGGGTGACCAATGAAATGATCAGAAGTGTAAAAAATTATTATTAAATACCTGTAATTATTAATTTAAATAAATTTAGGCAATTTTTTATATACCTGTTTAATGCTCAGGAAACCCATGTGGAATTGATGATATCAAAAAATATATATTACACATAATTCTATATTCATTGATCTTTCAAAAAATATAAGGCTTTTGATCTGCAAGTATATAGATTTCTATATATAGATAACAATAGTCCCCTATTTTTTGTAGCAGAATATTGCGATTGATTTTTCACTACCTTCCACACTAGATGGAACTCTAAAACTTTTGGCATTTCTGTAGTCCCAATGAACATGCATGTTAAAATTGATTCCAGGACCCCAAAACATTAGGAGGGGACCAAGTCAAGTGCCCCACTTTTTGCAGTAGAATCTTGTGATTTTTTACTACCTTCCTGACAAACTGGAGATCTGAAACTTTGTTCTCTATTTGTGTAATCCTGATATTCACGTGATAAAATTGTTTCCAGGGTAGATGACCAGAGGGTCCTTTTCCCTTTTCTCAAAATTTTTTCTTTTTTTTTTACATTTTAATTTTCAAGATAACTTTGAAAATATTTTCTTCAAAATTTATTTTTGTTTGTACTTGTTCCGTTTTATCTATTTGTTTACAAAATCAAATACAAAAATATAGTAAATAAGCGTCAAGATGCTAGAATATGCTTAGAACAGTCTAAGTATATATGTCCAGTTATTGTTACAGCTGCATCAATAATTCAAAGTATGTTGGTAATTGGAACCCAACACTTATCTGCTCTAAATGGCCAAAAAAGTTTGTTAAAAGGACCGTGCTGGTACATAAATGTTACCATAACATCTTGCTCATTATTGTCAATTTTATTTATCATACCAATCCAATGAAATTTATCATATTTACACAGAATAAATTCACCAAATTTCAATGTATTTATGTTAATTTGCTAGTAGGTTGAATACTTAAAATACCAGAAAAAGAAAACATGTCTGTTATATTATTTTTAATTTATAATATCTATAGATGGATTAAATTGATGATAGCAATTATTTTACTAAGCTCAAAACGTTTTTTCAAAGTGGTGCACACTTCTGTTATTCAATCTTGAAAAAAAATATCCATTTAATATTATATGTACAGTAGTCAAACATTTTATTAAAATTAAACATCTGGTCATTTATGAGTCTTTGTAGACTTTGTAGCATTTGCAGTTAATTGTTATACAGTGCCATTAATACCATCACATGGTGACTTAATATGACTTGTAGCAAATAATCCTCTCTGCATCAATATCAAAATCATCTTTATGGAGACAGATATTGTAAAGGTTTTTGTGGTTTTTACACTATGCAGCACAACCATCTGAAAACAAAGAATCTTTGAAATATTAGGATGATTTTCTGTTAAATAATTAACTATTTGTGTTTGAACTTCATGCACAAAACCAATGTCATGCTCATTATCATTTGACATGATTTTTCTTTATGAGCTTGTTTATTGCCTCTGATTTTTCTTTATGACTTGTTTATTGCCTCTGATAACATCTATTTGTATTCTTTAGTTGTTGTTGAAGAATACAAATACATTTTGTCACCCCTCACTGTTAAAAACAATTTTAACCCCCACACTCTTAAAAACAATTTTAACATGCACGTCCATTGCACTATAGAAATACCAAATGTTTCAGAGCTGCAGCTAGTCTGAAAGGTAGTGAAAAGTCTACTGCATTATTCCGCTACAAAAGTGGAGACCCTCTTGTTATACATATATAGAAATCCATATACTTGCAGATCAAAACTCGTATATTTTCTTGAAGATCAATGATGTGTAATTTTTTTTTTTTATATCATCAAGGCCACGTGATTCTTTAACATTTTAAATTTTATATATTACTGATCATTTCATTGCAACCCCTGAAAATAGTCTGTTACAATTTTTTAAGTAAAAAGATAAAATATTTTTAAAGTTATGTAACTTGAAACCTCTAAATTAGGGTGAATTGATTTAAAAAAATTTTTTTTAAATAAAATTATTATTGATAAAACAAGCATTTTTTTCTACTTTTTTAGAGTCCAAGGTTGATAAAGTTTAGAGAAAAAAAATTCAAAAATATTAGGATCCGTCAAGGATTTAGAATCCAAAGAGGAACCTCAAGATCTCATCAAAATCAAAAAATATTTTTTTACTTTCATCTTATAATTAATAGACATCGATTCGTGTCTCAGGAATATTGATTTTTAAACTTTTTTTTTTGTCTATGAAAATCGATCCACCCTACTCTAAATAAATGTTACAATTCTGAGGGGATAAGAGGGGCCTGGCCGGCATCTTTTAAAAGCAAAATTATCATATTTCAGGATCTTCTCAGAGCCAGAGGCTAAATTTTTTAAAGCAATTCTTATTTTACTAAGTACTCTTAACTGTATAACAATCAGCAAAATCTGAGATATAGGGTGACATTTTAATATTTTCTGAGTCATTTGACATGGAATTACCCTTAGATGAGATATGGCCACATAAATTTTAACAAGGATTTACTAGCAACTGCACTTTAATATACTTTACAGGCACATCATCAGGAAAGAAACACATCGAAAAAGTATCCCCATATAGTTTTTAAAGGTTATGAGCACACATATTGAATCTTTGAATGTTTTATCTATATAAAACATGAATTTTTTGAAAATATTATTATAACAATCATTAACTTTGTCACAATAATACAAAGTTTATTATTAAAAAGATTTAAAGTTTATTGTTAAGAGAATCAACTTTCATTATTAAGAAATCATTATTAAAGAGATACAAAGTTCAGTATAAAAGATTTAAAGAGTTCAATAAAGAGTTACAAAATAACTAAAGGTTGGTTTGATAACATAAAAAAAAATTCTTGGTAATGATAAAAATGATATATTTGATTAATCTAATAAATAAGTGTTAAACTATTTTTGATCAGCATCAGGGGAGCACTAAATTATTAACACAAAAATTTTACAATAACAACATAAAAAAGAGGTCGGCAAATAATTACAACCTCAGATACTTTTAGGTCAACAGTTTGATTGCTAAATGCCAACTGTCTCTCTCTTGCTGTGGTGTCGCTGTGGTTGGTGTCACCCAGTGCAGTAAACTGCAATTGGTCTCAGTGCAGTAAACACCCCTCTAAACTTTTACTAACAGGGGCAACAACACGGGTCAATCTTTTAATCTTGACGAAAGATTTTTGTGTGAAATGTGTAGTAAAAATCAAAGTATTAAAAAAAGAAGAAATAACAGAGTTGCTAATAAAGAATATCTAAAATCAAAACCTAAAAACTATTGGTTGCCAAACGCAAATATAAATGAATACAAGCATGAGCAGTTCTGTTGTAATTGCATTTTATTCATTTTGGTGCCATCTCTCAGTGTCAGGTTGTGATAGTGTCACCCAGTGAGGCTTGTACCTTGGCACCCCCTAGCAACACCACTGTTGCTAGGGGGGTGGCAAGGTACAAGCCTCACTGGGTGAGGCTTGTACTTGGCACCCCCCCCCCCCTAGCAACATGAAATGCTAGGTGAAAGCAAGGTGAAATGGGGAAACTTTTGTTTATGTTAGCCTTAGATTTTTAAGATTATGATTTGTTAGCCTTTTTTAAGCAGAAAAAATTGTGAAAACAATAAAAACATTTATGAGACAAAAAATGATGAATTCCAAACTTCAGGAACTAGTACTATGTTGGAAAAAATAGGATACTTTTAAACTAGGGCTGTACCGAATTTCGGCTCCGGCTCCTGCTCTGGCCGAAATCCGGCTATTTTTACAAATCCGGCCCAAATCC